TGTTATCCCAAAACCTGGTTTTAAAAAAATAGAAATTGCAATATCATGAAATTTACTTTAGACATACATACACATAGTTTGCTGTTGAACAATCAACATGAAGAAATATAATTACCGATACATGTAGCATTACAAAATGCTTAAACTTAATCACTCCCCAAACAAGTCGAAAATACAAGGGTGATTAAATTAAATAGTCCACATCAATAAAGATAAATAATATTAAGAGAAATTTTCGTTGGATTTGATGACATTTTTATATTTTTTTAAAAGCATTCACGTTAGTGATACAAGGGAGATAATTGACGAATATACACCGTGTGTCGGACAACTACTCATTTTTTTTCACAGTCAAGGATTTGTCGTATGAGGAAGTGTCGAATGTGTGGTTTTTATGAGGTTGAGCTTAAATATTGCATAGGCTCGGGTCGACAGGAGGGTAAAGCATCCTATCGGATCCCTATCCATCATATCAAGAAATGACCGCCTGTTAGCTACCGCAATCAACTGGATGGTCGCAGATTCTAGCCGCTCAGACAGCAAGGACTAATCATGTGATTGATAGTCAACAGTGGCTAGATGTCTTTGAAAGCCCCGTTGCCCCCAGGTTCTGCTGGAAAATAGCTGAGCGACTATGCGACGATTCTTAAGAATATAGTGTTGATAAAGTGTCATCAATTAAAGTATGTATTCCAACGGAATACTTTTAAATTACAGTCTTCGATTGCTTCGTTCCTCAAATATCATAGTTACTACAGATGTCAAACATATATCAATCAGAAAACCATGAAGTTTCGAATTGCCATGTCAAAAACGATTTCAGACAGTTACTCTCTTTATATTGTTGCATATCTAAAACACTTACCCTTCAACTCATCAATATCTGGGATAATAGCACGGATCCAATAACTATCACAGTAGAAGCATCTCATAAACGACTTAATTTTTAAATGTGTGCCTTGAGAAGGACAGTAGAGAAGCTACTGACAACCATCCATCTCTTTCGATTACTTTTTAGTTTTAATCAAATATAAGGACGTGTTATGGATGACAATGATGCCTATTGTTTTGAGGAGGAAAAGAATTTGATGATAAACGCCGCCTAAATAAATAAAAAAGGACAATAAGTGATGATCTGTATTGAGAAAATGTGACAAGGTGCACAAATATCTTCTTTTGTCTTAGTTCTTTGTCATTTTAATGCGAGATATTTTTCCTCTTTTACAGGCCAGTAATCGTAAATTTGTTGAAATATTTATCATTAAAGTCCCCACAACTTAAAAGTATATCATGTGCAATGATAAGACAAGATACACTTAAGCTGGTGAAACTTGGCATTCAATTATTATGATATTTGTGTTAAACCCGAATTGGTGCGACATCATGCTCGTCTGGAGACACAACACATTTCTACGATATGTAATTCATATTGTTCGGGGGAAGTTGCTATTGTTAGTATATGGTTGTTAAGACTAAACAATTGCTGTTCATCTCATTCCATGAAATAGTCATTATTAACTAGGCCCAAGTTAACGATGCTTCTTCCTAGTTTTGGGGCTACTTGTTTCTAGTTGTAAGATTGTAACTTCCGCTTAGTTTCTCAATATTTTGTCCATTGAAATGAATTCACATGCATGGATAATGTTAAAATATAAAGTTTTTATTACAAATAAGTATCTACTGAAAACACTAATTTATTTAACAATATTTTTGTCACGTTAATCATAATATGGGTGAGGTACATGCTTTCGCCGATGAAATCCATCTCCCGATTTAAAATATCCATTTACAATACATGTTCACAATATTAAGAAATAACTATGATGCAAACCTTACTATACAAGAAAAAAAGCATTTGTGGCTACTAGTTAGGAACATGTGACATAATCGCAAAACCGTTGTTCGGACAGTAAATAACATTATTTGAATAGTTCAAGTTTAACTATTTGAGAGAAAACACAGACATACAATGAAATGATACATTAAGTATAATTGATCCGGATTCAACAGACTAATCGAGCTAATACACCAATTTAAATGTTTGTGATTATTCAAGAATTAAACAATAAAATACTTGTTCAGTATGCTGACCGCCGCAAAGTCAGTCAGTATTGAATGAATTGAAAAAGAGCTGTAGGTCGACTTGTTCTGCACCAAAAGCAAAGAGCTTTAGTAAAAATGTAAAATAATCAAACCTGGTTACACCTTAGGCAAAATTTCTTGAATAAAACGGTTGAGATTAACCTGTATCAAAGTCTTTGTCAGTTGCACAGATGAGGGTCTAAAATGTACCAGGAAATACAGTTGATGAAAATGCTATTTTATTTTCACACAGAGACATTTTCAGTCCAACTGATTTTGAGTTTTGAACATGGAAATGATTTTTTGTAGAAAAAAAAATTCATTGTATTTCATCTGAAACACACCATGAAGCAATAATCAATTAACATATAAACGACTAAACGTTGAATATGTCTGTAGGGCGATAATGTGTGAGAAAGTTTGATGTTTTTACCATTCTCCTTGACAAAAGATATTGTTAAGTCAACAACTTTTCAAGTGATCTCTGCATTTGTCAATGTTCCGATGACAACCCCCCCCCCCCCCCATCCCTTCCTAAATTATTTTTATGTTATACAAACCTGGGGCTAATAAAGCTTAACGTATTTGTAAACGATTGAAAACTAATTTAACAAAGACAGTTCTACTTTACAATGTAAAATTGTTAAAGCTTGTATCAATGAACGAATATGTGGCTTACGAAACGGTTTTACCAATCTTTGCAACCTGATCCGAGAGACACTTTCGAAAAAATCTACTTTGATTTGGGCAACCAACTAAAGTACACAGACGACTTATAAACATATTGTGTGTGATATAGTTGGACTTAATGCAAATGCTATCAGTCCATATCGG